TTGTTGTTTTCAGTTGATTTTTACACTATTTTTGCTTGTACGGAAAACTTTAACCCCACCGCCAGGGCACTTGCTCTCTCTTTTAGTTTTGCGTAAACAATACTTCAAGGTTCTTGGAAATGGGTTTTCGGTGCGGTCTGAGTTGGGTCTGCGTGTGCTATTGGAAATGTCGGGGGTCAAGAAGCGTTGTCAACTTTTATGATATGTTGAAAATGCATTGACAATGCTGGCGAACAATGTATCGCATGTTTGTGATAAGGGCATGAAAGCAGAGGTATGCTGTGAGGAACGGTTTGAGATAAGAGATTGAAATTGTTTTTTTTCGATTTGGTTTAAAGAAATTGGTAGGCTAGACAGCAGGTTATGGCAGAGAGATTAAAGTGTTTTAAATTGTTACATAGGATCATTATTATAAAACATAGAAAATTGAATACTATATCAATAGTATTACTTTGAATATATAACAATTTTTGTAACCCATTATGTACAATAAACTCAGGTTTTGCCACATATTTGGCAACTTTGCAAAACTTTCATATCATGTCCGATTCTTTTGTGTTTGTCGGTTTCGCCTGACTGCATTTCAATTTTAGAGATTGCAACTGTTTTTGTGTGCGTCACATTTAAAGTGCCTTGCCCTCTGGCATCATGCCGCACACACAATTCTCCATCATAACTGTCAAAAACCGACAGAAACTCATTCCATACCATATTATACCATACATTCATATATAGAGCGACACAATTGCAAAACATAAACAGAAAAGTTGTAATCACAGCTGTCCGAAGCGAGAGTATAAACCATGCCCAGATATGATGGACCATGAGGGATCTATGGCTCTTAATGGGCAAAATGGAGCGAGGAGAATGGGGAGTTATATGAGTGATACTGGGGGTTTTGCTTTTGCGAGCGATAATCATAATCAGCAGACTGTTGTTGCAACTGTCACTGCATCGGACACACACACACGCACACACACATTTTATTTATATTTTTCCGGCCAAGCAGACGTTGCCATCATCATCATCATCGTCATCATATGGGTCTGCCGCAGTTCTCCATCTGTTTTGCGGTTCCTGGTGATGAAACCACAGCGGCGACACTCATTCGTTTTAATTGTTATCGTCAAAATGTCAACTTTGATGCTTCCTCAGAAGAATGCAGCTCTAAACTGACTAGATTTAGAAGAAATTATAAATTATTTCGAAAATAGGAAGAGAAAAGATGGTTTAAAGAAAGTGTTATATCTGCAATCTGTAATATTGTATCTAAAATTTTATTTCTAACCACATCCTCAAAGAATGCAGCTATAACTGTGACTAGATTTATAAGAACATATATATTATTCCAAAAGAAGAAGAGAAAAGATGGTTCTAAGAAAGGTTATATCTGTAATCTTAAAAAGAAAACAAATTTGTTTCGTATACCATACAAATATTGTATCTAACATTTTAATTCCAAACCCACTCCAATTTATTTTGTAAACCTTGTTCTGGTCCCACTTCAAACCGAAACCTTGTTGACTAATGTAGACTGACAGTGCGTGCAGTTGTGTGCAGTGGCTTATAAGTGTGACACAGAATGTGTAATTTGCACTTAATTGTCACAAATAAGCGAAAGGAATTTGTAATTTTTATTTTTACAATGTGCAATCCTCAATGGAATCGACCCAGCCACAGCTTTTCTTCCCATTTTCCCCTTTGGGGTGTGATTAGCTTAGTTTCCATTACGAGGAGAGGCTTGGCCCAATTTTCTCTGCCATTTAATTAGCATTTTGTAATACATTTGTCGTAATGCCCCCGAGTATTTCATTTACCCAACCCTCCAACACACTTCGTGGGGGAGAACTTTTCATTTTAATTAAATTGCTTTATTGTCCAGCGGTTTGTCGGATGATTACATGGATTGCATCTGTTGGTGGAAAAGTCGACAGCGAGGCGTTCGACTTTAATGCAAATTAAGTCAGTTTGAGTGATAGATATATTTCCCAACACGATCAACCAGAATAAAAGGAGAAGTCATACGAATGCACTTTAATGAAATGGAACTATAAAATATATTATTGTAAGATTTAATGTTATGTTTTAAATGTGCTTTTGCTTAGTTGATGTTTGTTTTATGGTTAAAATGTGCAAACCCTCTAAAACGTTTAAGAATTTCATTAATATTCAATAAATTTCTTAAATCATTTTGTAAAAAAAATAGTTTATGTTGTACAAATATATTTTAAAGGTGATTCTATTGTTTTATAAAGATTTTTTTAAGAACCTTTTATCTTATCTTTGATATCCCCTTGATCTTTGGGCTTATGTAGTTGAGAATGGGGCGTGGCATGACAATACATTTTTGTGGCATACGGTTCGCTTTAGTGGGTGTCGACTGCTCGCTTCTTCACCTTTTTTCCCCTGTGTTTATCGCCAGCACTTAACCCATTTAAGCCGGGTGCTGTGGTGTGTTTTTCCTGGTCCCTAGACCACACCCAGCAAATGGAGAAAAGTGCTAAAGTTCGCCCCGTAGATTCTCCGGGGAATTGATGAACATGCGAGTGGAATATATAGATGGTGGCAATATGCTTGAGTTTGCTTATATCTAACAAATGACTGTCCCATTGAGTGGATGATGACTGGGCTAAAATTCACCCCCTTGTGCTGTCGCCTGTGCAACCATATTTAATTGCCACAAATTAATTAAATTAATGAATTGTTTGGAGAGAAGATTTCCAGTCATTTGTCTAAAAATTAGCCAAGCCAGAAGAGTTTTCTTTCTGCACTCCATGACACATGATTTTCCTTGAAGTTTCGCTGCTAATGATGTTTATTTTTTCCCATTTTCCCAGAATACATTTTTCCCCAGCTGAATGGGGAAAATTAATTTTTTCTTGTTTGCGATTATTTTACGGCATAAACGAAGGGAAATATATAAAACTTTTATTAGGCTTATAAAGTTGATGTTGATTTCAGTGTTAAATTGGATTGAAAAGAAGAAGGAGAACGTAGGGTTTTCCCGGCCTGATATCAACATTTTGCTCCCACTTTTTGTTGTGGTGCCATTTTTATGTCGCATTCAGTAAAACCGAAGAGGAAATGGAAAATTTTCTCTCATTCCGTGTGTTTGTGGCTAGATAAAGTTGTCATTTCAGGCAGACGGATCGGATATTGTAGAATATTGGTCATTCTGACTGCTCTGTTGTCCATTATTTCGAGAAAATCAATTACGTCAATGACAAATAAAAGTATTCGCAAAAAAAAAAAAAATCGTAAAAGCGCGTTTATTGTTGGGGATTTAAGTGAAGGCAATTTGTACGGGAAATTAGTGCCGACAGTGCAGAAAATATTTCTTTCAATCAAACATTTTGGGCTTATATTATAAACATTATGTTTTGTATTTTTTATTAATATTATTTAAGAAAATTTTATGGAAACAAACAATAAATTTTATAGCTTCTTTGTATTAAATAGTTTCCCAACGTTTTTTTCTTGACACATCTTTTCATTTTAGGCCCAGTTTTTAACCATTTTTTGTAGCCATATTTTTCTCTTGACCCCGTTGTCAACGATTTATTCTTGGTTATATAACAGCCATTGATCATTTCGCAGGCTCAACGCGAACGACTTTAATCGCAAATACATTTATATATTATGACATCAGTCCGAAGCCCACGCCCCATAAATCTCTCCGAGAAGTGGGGGGAAAACTGGGGAGAAATGTGTTCCACTTGTTGCCGTGCCCCTCCCACTTTTTCAATGCCATCTGTTGGGGGTAATAAACATGGCGCCTCATCATCCCGCCCCGCAGATCCTATCACAGAATTCCATAAAACCCCCCAAAAAAGCTCTGGAAAACATTCGCTGTCGTCTCGGCTAAACAATAAATGTCATATGGTTGGCACATCAACACTTTATGTGCTTCACTGGCCCCCCAAAAATGTCCTTACTGTTATTTTCCTGGTATGGGACAGCCAAATGAAAATCTTTACACGCTTTTAATTTTCTTGCTCCCCAAAGTATGCAGAAAATGTCTTCCCATCACACTTTCACTCAGTCTAGATGTTCATAGCATTTTTATGGCCCAAATGAAATAAAAATATGACCAGCAGAAAATTAAGAATGTGAAAGAGCAGAAAAAGGGACAGAGACAAATAAACAAGCTTGGCTTCATCCTTCGTAACACCCACATATCTTTTGGATTTTTCTCACCTACTTGGATCTTTCCATATACAATGTATAATATAGATATTATATAGCCATTAGTTGGTAAATACAAGGTTAACTCGATTTAAGAATGATATTTAAAAGTTTCGAAGTCCTTAAGAATGATTTATATATTGAAATTAATTTTTGAAAATATTTGTTCTTAAAGGGTTTAGAGTTAGTAATAGGTATACAAAATTCTTAAGTAATTTCTTAGGTTTCCCTAGATGACTAAGAAAGGAAGACCTGAATTACCCTTTCTTACTGTGCTTTCTAGTTTATGACTTCAATTTGGCCAAATGAGTCGTTAACTTTGACTTTTCATGGGCCATACCACCCCTCTTTACTCGTTCTTTTGCATTTGGCCAATGGCAGAGTTAGTTTCCTTTTTGGGCCCACTTTTATTGTAATTTTGTGGCCTTTAATTGAATTTTATTAGCATTGTACTTATTATTTGCTCAGCTCGAATCCCCTTTGCCTCCCAACAGCCCATTTAATTGTACACTTTATTTGCTGGCCAGGAAAATGGGGCTGGATGGTGGATCGGTTTCTGGTTTCTGTTTATGGGGTAGTTTCTTCACTCCCACTCTGGGACTTTTCTCCCTTAGTTTGGCTCTATTACAGCCTGTGTGCGCATCTAATGAGAGTTTGTTTTAGTCAGAAAACCCGCAGAATTGAAATCAAAGAAGCCCTTTAAAGGAATGTATTTCTCTATTACTTGTTTTTTGCTTTCTGGGTCAACCTCTTCATACAGAACAGAACAGAACTCTTTAAATGTTTTAAATTAAGTGGTTTCTACTTTATTATATTTTATTAAATGCCTTTTCATTCTTTTCATTTCAGGTAAGGCTTAAAGAACTTTCGACGTTATTTAAAATATTTATAAGGGGTAAGACATAAATATTTTTTTAGATTTTAACCAACTAAGTCTTAAATTAAACTTGATCGTAAAGTAATGAACAAAATCTTTACTTACCTTACTTACCTTAAAAGGAGTACTTTTACTGACGGATATTTGGATTTCATTATAAATAATTAACAGATTAATTTACATAAACTACATAAGAGTAACTGAAAAACCATATTGAAGATGCGACTTTAGATTATGGTCGATATCTTTTCGTACGAATGTTATTTTTGCGTTTCTTTCGCGTGATCAACTTGACATACCGAACTTTAGTTCGACCCCTAGATCTAACGGGTCTAGATTTATGTCCCTTTGAGGAGTTGGTATTGGAATTTGCAGTGGGTTTCGACCAACTATTGCTCATAGTGGGGCTTGTTAAGGAAGGCTGCCAAGGCTGGGAAATCATATCATTGGAGTTGCTGTAGGGATCAAAGTTCCCACCTCCACCATAACCAGATACTGGGTTATTAGCATCATTTAGAAAATCTTCCATTGTGGTAGGGATGGTGATATGCTATTATCCTGTCCGCTAAATGCCACAGCACTATCATAACCCTGGGCATGATCCTGATCCATTTCCTCCGATCCTGATGGATAATATTCACCATATTGTTGGGCGAACTCATCACCATCACTTCCTCATAGTCCTCATGTTGGGGTTGCTCATCCTGATAATCTTCAAAGTTTTCCGACAGGTCCTCATCTTGATAATAATACGGTTTACTCTTGAAGTAATTGAATATTCCTTGTTTGGATTTTTAAGCTTCGAACTAGACTTCTTTCGTTTGCGTCGTCCACCGAATTTCGAAAGATATTCCTTTGCAGAGCCTCAAGGAAATTATTATTGAGTAAAGAGTTACTCTCCACTTGATTATCCTCGGCGGAAGTATCTTCATCTTCGTTTTGTGAGGTGTGAAAATTTGTTGTAGCAATTGTTGCTGTTTGGCCATCTTTAACATTGGTGGTCTCATTGTCGTTGTGGTAGTGGTTGCACTCAAAGCCGATTCCTGATTGTAATTATCGAACAATGCAGGTCCATAGTTGGGCATCAAATTGGTGGGCGTTGGCATCAGAGTGGGCGTGGCTGCTGTGCCCATTAGCTGCATTAAATTGGGCACCATTGGCCCAGAATTACCCACTGATGTTGTATAGCCCAAAAGTTGAACATGAGGTTTTCCCGGGAATTTTGGATGCACGTAGCGATCGTTGTGGGCGGTGGGCCGGAAGTGGGTGGATTTTCCGAGGTATCTTGTAGACATTGTGGAAATGCGTATGCTGACGTACCACCTCCGGCATATGAAGACGTATGTGGACCTGGAATGAATTAAATTAGGTTTAGGTCTTTAAATATAGAATTTTTCTTACCGTTCCCCACTACTTCCGCCCGGAACCGCCTGGCAACCCCGAAGTTCAGGAGCAGTAGGATCCATGTGCCATAGATGGCGATCCAGAGAACGGTGGAAGACGAATGGTGATTCAGGATATCCAGATCCATGGCTCCATAACTTATGTGTGCGCTGGCTGTCGACCGACTTGTGACGCATCTCTCTGGTCAGTCGCCCACTTTTATTGCCTTGCAGCCGGAGCAGATTCAATTTCAACGGCTTGGGATGAGATGTGCTCACTGAACGGAAAGATGGGTTGGGTGGCTGATGAGGGTGAGGCAGGTAAAGGAGGAGAACTGTGCATCTCAACCTCACGTTTCCAATTGCGATTTTCATTTGCCAGCTTCCAATTTGTGGCGCCGACTCCCTCTGACTTCCTTCCTTTGATATCTCTCTTGCTCTCTCTATCTTTGATATTCGATAGGTTTGAAAGTCGAGCGACAGACGACAGACATACGGATTTCCATGGAAAGCGCCAGTCAAGTTTGGTTGGAGTAGCGGCGCATGCGTAACGTTTTCAATTTCAATTTACATCTATTTGTTTTTGTCTACGCACTTTGCTCGCTGACTTCATTTCGTGCTGCCTGTCTCTTTCTATTTGTCCTGCTTTGCCCTCTCTTTCTGTCTGGCTCAGGCGGTCTCTTTCTTTGCGGTATAGGTTTTTATGAAGCCGGAAAAATGCTCAAATAGGAGCATCCCAAACGAAGACCCTGAAAAGCTAACAAGGTTTCCAGAAAGTCGTCCATATTTGGAAAATATTTTGGGAGTAAAGTATTTTTCCTTTCGGAACACATCTGCTAGAAGTATTTCAAGAACAAAGTGTTCTTAAAAATTTCTATGCGCTAAGGTAAGAGAGAAGAAGCCATCCCACATTTTCCCCTATCTTATCATCATAAATAGTAATCACCTCAAAACTTTGAACCATGAGGCAACATTTTTAAAGGTTCTGTTTTACAATCTCCCATGATAGTTATCCGCTACTTTAACGACTTTTACTTGAAGTCCTTGAATTGAATCTTAAGCAACCCACGCTCCCCTTTTATGTCCTCTTTTACTCACTCTTTATCACTTATTTTTGCTGGATTCAGTTTGGCTTTTGTTTTCTGCAAGTAGGTGGGGGAAAGTCTTACTTAACCTTGGTAAAGTGCCAAAAAGACTTGGTAAGCTAAACGCAGCTAAACAGAAAATGCAGCCAAGTAACTTCCAAGCCACTAACTGCAGATGAAAAGTGAAGGAAATTTTTGGGGGAGGGATGGTGAAATGATGTGTCCCTTACTGCCGCCCTTCCGCAACCAACGAACGCATTTTTGGCAGCCGAAACGAGGAGTCAATGAAAGTGTTTTCGTTCAAGGATAACCACAAACTTTTCCCCAACCGAAAAAGGTCTTAAGCTGCTTAGCCTGATTTAACATTTAAGATCGGAAGCCAGGCCAAAGTGAAAGGTTCTCCAGGTTATGTCTAGCCACAGTCTGTTCACAGTTTATTGCTCCGCGTTTATTGGTTAAGTAAAGTGAGTGGGGTAGGGGGGAAAAAAACCTGGCTAAAAGAAGAGGTGAAAAAATAATAAGCGTTCAATGGCTTTTTGCACTTACATCATCCATAATAGTTGGCGGCATTCGGGTAATCATCTCTCGCAATGATGATGATAATGACGATAATGCGTGAAAAAGGCAGCCACAAGTAAAGGAAAAATAACTATGGCATCCGTCAGCGTGGTAAGCACCTAACAACCGACAGAAAAAATCACAATCACCCACCGTTAAATCCCAGCAGCTTAGAACATGTACAAAAATATGACGTGAAAATGGAAGAAACGAATGAAAAGAATTTTCTTTATAGAGAACATGCAATGCCCTAAACTCTCAGTAAATAAAATAAGCAAAGAAATGTTATAATATTATATTCTATTCCAACATACACTTAATATATCCATAAGATTATAGATATTTTTTTAGTAGTTACCATTTGAAAATAATAATTTTAGATCATATATAGTATAAAAGACTTATATCTTATTCAATCATCATACATTAAAGTCAGTGTAAAAGGCGAAAAAGTTAGTAAGTGAGGAGGGAACAACAGCGTAAAGATTAACAAGTCATGATTATTAGTTTGAAGAGAGCTATAAAAAAAAGGGGGCTGGGTAAATCATAGGAAATGGGGGGCGGCGAAAGAATCTGAAAGAGTGGGCGGTGAAGTTTCTTTATTCGAGCCCACGAAAGGAGCATGTTAAATGGTTTTGGGATGGAGAGATGATATTCAGCTTCCTCTCATTCTATGCTTGCAAATTGTGTGTGTGTGTGTTGCGACTTTTGGCTGACCTTTTTTAAGTGGTTTTCGGTCTTAGCCAAAGTTTTCCGGCATCCGTTGGAGTTTTTGTGTTTTTTCCTCAAAGCCATTAACACGAGTGTATGGCCATAGATGTTGGTTGTTAATGCTACCAGCAACTTCACGAAGTGCAACTCTTGACCCTGGCGTATCTTTTTGCGCCTGGGGATCCAGAGTTACTAGTAGCAATGGGTGTAAAAAATATGTAGATCAGGCCAACTGGTTTTCATTCTAAGAATCGTCGTCTTTGGTTTTCCTAAAATAAATTTAAATGAAAGGAATATATATTGTTTTGGAATAATCTAACCAAAAAAGATGTTAGGACATTTTTATAAAGGTATATATTTAAAAAACCCTAAGCTTCTCTATAACTCCACCAACTTATCTGGAGGTTGGCAACATGTTGCCAGTCTGACCTTGGCCTTAACTTTGAGCCAAGCTCAACAACATGTTCGTAGTGAGCCAGCAACAAGTTTGCATGTTTGTATGGCTTTTCAGTATGCTAATGCCAATGGTTTGTGTCTTGGCTCAAAGCCTGGGTCAATGTCTTGCTTTTGACCATTGTTACCGCCTTCCGTCTCTTTCTCTACTGTTACGCACTTTGCGTTTAAGTTTAATTGTTGTTTATGCGAGCATTTGCTTTACTATTATATTAAGTACCATCATGAGTAGTTGTGGGTCTCAGTTTTCCACCTGGGTCAATGCCCACCTTTATACCTTTCTACATTTTCATTCCCTTTTCCGCTGCCTTTTCATTCACATTTTATAGCAATTTGTAGACCTCAGTGTCGATTGGCGCTGACCATTCTTGGGAATCATTAAAATTATAAACTGATGATGTCACGTTTGGGGTGTTAAGCCCGCCCCCTTTTCTCTCTACCTCTTTTCACCTCATGTATCATATCCGGCGGTTCGTTTGTTTAGCAAGTTCTATTCATTCTGTTTGTTTTGTACTTTTGTCCACAATTCTTTATTGGTCACGGGCCAATTTTGTATGGAAAGTTAGATGGAAAAAAAATAGGAAGCAGAATAAATTTCCACTCACGAAATGAAAGCCATTGGTACATTAACATTTTTAAATAATATAAAATATAATTCCAACTGCCTATTAAACCCAACCCAACTGCTATGCATCTTAACTTACAGTGCTTGTATAACTGTGGTTATTACACCAAGCAATTTGCCATCCATCTCATTACCCGCAAAGTTCCGAAAACAATTTGCATAGTTTTCCAAGTGAACTGGAAAAACTTGCTATAGCAAGAATAAGAAGTTGATAAATGGAAATGACGTGAGGGATAGAAAGAGAGAGAACGAGGAAAAAAAATAGAGCAAAAACTTTAGCCCCAGCCATTTGAATAATTACAATCGATGGCAATAAATTGAAGCGATTCGCTGGGATTTCTTTGATGATACACTAACTTGAATAAAGTGGCAAGAGTTTCGACCATTAAATGTGGTGGTTCTATAGTGGTAATTGGTTTATGGGCTGTGCAGTATAAAATCAAAAGGAATTTAACTATAAGTTTAAGATTTATGTTCCTTTTTGTTATAAATATTTATATCTAACCAGTTTGTGATATTTTCGTAAAAATCGTTTACTTCATTTGACTATCAACCTGAAGTATCTCGTATTCGTTAGCAGCATCGTGAGTTTTTATTCCCTGCTCTTTTTTTTTCTTTGTGCAGCGTCAATATCTCAAAAGTTGTGCTATGTAAACTGGCCTAGAACAACAATGCAAACACACACTTGAATGGCCAGAAGATACCGCCGTGAATGTTAAAATCCCCTTCTTCTTTGGTCTCGGCTTTCAACTGGTTGGGATCTCCAGTTCCCCCCGCTTAACCACCTCTGTCTGCCTGAACATCTGGGCCTTCTGGCTGTGGCTTCCTGGTTGGGGTTTACTTCTTCTTTTCTTTTTTTTTTTTTGGGCTCCGCCGAGATTTGCAATGGCAGAAAACATGCAAAGACATTATCTCCATGTGTTTGTCTGCAGCTTTTTCCACCGCCCTGTTCTTTTGCTGATGCTGCTGCAATTTTTGTCCAAGCTGTAAAAAAAAGAAGTAAGAAGATCTGGTTTTTCCTCTGCCAGCACGGATTTTCCTTAGTTTTCTTTGCCTGTTTTTGGGTCATTGGCCAATGGGTTTTTATTGGCAACTTTCTAAGCCAACTTTCCATGGTCTAAAAAGCGTCTAGAATGTGTGTGCAACAAGTAGGCAATTAAGTCGCACGATAATTAGCATAATAATTGGCCACATTCGATTTGATTTGATTTTTTTTTTGTTTTTTCTTCGGGTGCAAGTTCATTGAACGAATTGGCTTCCTCTACTATTTATTTTTCCATTGTGTTCTTCCATAATGATTTTTGCGATTCGATCCGGGATGGTTCGTGCCGCTAATGTGTATTTGATTAATTAAATTAATCAACTGCTCGATCTGCGAACAACGCATAAATAAATCTATAAATAAAATTGATGAGGGTCCTCCTAAGGGGTCCACTTGCTATCTTCGCTGTCTGTACTAAACTGTTGACACCAACGGATACATATGTGTTCGTTTCTTTTTTTTTTATTACGGCTAAGAGTGGATCCAGTATGGTGTTAATATTTTTTGATGGGTTTCTTGACTGGGTTACGTCAGCGGTAACACACGATATAGTTTCGGGAAAATGAGGGGGCGGCTATTGAAGTTTGTGCAATTTAAGTTGTTAATGGAGTGATTGAAGTCGTTAATGCAAGCGGATGGTCTTATGATGGTCGATTAGTTTTATGTTAACTAATGATTGGGCACGTTTATGGATAAATGTTCT